GTGCAAATAGTATGTATCTGCCAGTATAAAGCATCTAATTATTATTTTTTTATATATTATTTACACTTAGCCTGTTGCAAAGAACTGCTACTTTTACATGGTAAATAGAATATATCACTATTTTCACTAAGTGTAAATAGCATCTAGAGCTATTTGCACTTAGCCTACTGTAAATAGGATCTATTGCTAAGAAAGTATGCTAATTCCACTTGACTTAGTGTAAATAGCCGCTGCCGTATTTTTCTTACCCTATTGGCAGATCATTTGTAAAATAAGAAAAATGCACTTAAATTATCTTAAATTATTATTATTATTTTTTTGTTTTTTTGCCCGTGGGATACCATGATAATGAATAGCCTATTAGTTCAATAACCTACCGTTCTGCCAGTTTTCACCTGCGATATTATAACAGTGATAAGAATTAAACTTGTATTGACTGAGGTATGCAGACGTCTTTTTGGCGGGAGCTTTTGCCATGGTGAATCGTAATATCGGAGCTCCATTGATCATGGCTTTTTATAGTCGTGGTGCATGCGCTAAACTCAGAGTCAACCTACTCAGAGTTGATTGAACTAACTTAATTCAGCTGTTCTGAAACCGAAAACTCAGAGTTTTCCATCTCAGAGTAAGTCAACTCAGAGTTCAAGTTTTAACTCCGAGTTGGTTGAACCTCCTTATTGAAACTGGCCCCAGGACCGAAGTTGCCCAGCCCTGTTGTAATCAAACATAACATGAAGTAATGGAGTGATGCATAATAACTATTGAGTAAATTTACCTTTCCAGTTGCTCATCTTTTGCTTAGAATTTTTTGTAGTTTCTTTTCCCTTTTTTTTAATGGTTTTAAAAATGGTTAGTTGCAATAGAATTTGTTCTCAAGATGATAATGATCATGAGAAGTCATTCTATTGCTCATCTCAATTTTTACTTTGTGACTTTCTGTAGGTGAGCAGAATGGAAACAGGAACCCAGGAGGCCTGCAGATTGGAGATTTGGTCAACATTGATTTGGACCTGGAGATCGTTCAGTCGCTGCAGCATGGTCACGGAGGCTGGACTGATGGCATGTTTGAAACGCTCACAACCACAGGCACTGTGTGCGGCATTGATGAAGACCATGACATTGTTGTGCAGTATCCTAGTGGAAACAGGTCAGTCACATGGTACCTCTGAAAAGACCGTTTAAATCCTTATATATTGTCATAAATGTTTTTTTTTCTTCGCCTTTGTTAAAGCACACGACAGATGCAAACTTCACAATTATGACAAATCATAAGAAATACTAATTATTAATGTTGATGCATAATATACATAAATTCTAATATTGCATATAAACAGTCTACAAATCAAAAATAAGCTGTGTTTCTGAAATGCTAAATCAGTGTATCAAGACCTAAAGTGACATTACATAAGACCATAACATTCCCATTAGCCCTCTTAGTTGCATGAAACTGCTTAAACAAAACCACAAAGTAAGCAGTGTAACAATATTAACCCTGTAAAGCCTGACAATTGAAATAATCGGTAAAAATAAAATTGGTTGAAATTTAATAAATGTAACTGTTGTTGAAGATCCATGACTTAACCTTTGAAATGAACACAAAACCCTTTTGTGTGTTCCAGGTGGACATTTAACCCAGCGGTGCTCACAAAGGCAAACGTTGTACGTAGTGGAGAGGTGGCGGCTGGTGCTGAGGGAGGCAGCTCTCAGTTCATGGTGGGAGACTTGGTCCAGATCTGCTATGACATTGATCGCATCAAACTACTTCAGAGAGGACATGGAGAGTGGGCTGAAGCTATGCTGCCAGTGAGCATCACCTTCCTCATCCTTAAAGGGATAGTTCACCCAAAAATGAAAAATCTGTTATTATTTACTTACCCTCATGTTGTTCAAACCTGTATGATTAATTTTTTTTCTGTGTGAACAGATATTTTTAAGATATCAAGATATTTTGAGAAATGTATGTAGTTACACTTTAGTTTGATAGTCCATTTTAGACAGTCTACTAGCTATAAGTAACTTTGCAACTACGTGTCAACTAAGGCCACATCCACACAAAGCCAGAGCTTTCCCTATCCAATCTTTTTTTTTAATTTGTTCTAAAAAAAAAAATTCCATTAACACGGCGTCGTCACAAGAAATATCTGCGTACACAGGAAACCACTGAAATGGACTCAAAATTATGTAGTATACATGCCAGACCAGTATGTGGCTAATTCTGCCACAGAGATGCACTAAAAACGGAGAAGAAGACTTGGAGCATGCGCGTAAACCTTGCGCGCTGTATACATTTTTGCTTTAGTAATTTTTTTTTCTTTAGTAAAGCTAATAGGCTCAGTATCTTCTGCCTAAATAAAGTGTAGGCAGATATTAAGCAGACAGTAGCAGGGGTTCCCAAACTTTTCAGCCCACGCCCCCCAAAATAACGGTGCCAGTGACTCGCGACCCCCACTATCCTCGGAGGTGGTTAAAATATACAGATGTTGCGCGCAACGGTGCACATGCACCAATAGGCCTATCCAAACATGAGCATAATGACAACACAAAAGAACACAACGGTCTAACAACCATATAATTTTTTATAGTAATTTACTCATTCGTTTAATTTCAACATTAACCTCACCTAATGAGATGCACACAACACATTGGGGATGTTGTACTTCATTGACGATGACGCATGTGAATCCATACTGGATAAATTCCTCTCGATACTTTCGACACTTAGAGTAAGGCTGATCCACCTGCTTATGGATGTCCTCTTTATGCACACGCTGGTCTCTTTCCGTACCTGAGGTCGATGGCCTTTCTGACGGTGGTGCTTCTCCGCTTTCCTCCGCTGGCCTCTCTGCTGGCCTCCTTGCATTGTCTTTGGTCAATATTAACCAACATTTCATTTCAACAAAAATAATAAGCGAAATAAATTACCTATGTGCACATGTCGGAATGTTTAACACTGTGCTGTAAATTGATCTGCTGCAACTGACGCTATTGCTGTGTCGTTAATCTGTCATAATCACCTCCGGGGTCGCGATCGAACGGAAAGAAAATCTGGGCTGATGGCTTTTTTTAATGTAACTATTTACTATTTTTTTAAAATCTTTTGTTAGTTATGGATAAAATTTTATTTCTAATAGTTTAAAAAATGTATTTGATTTCTGGAAATCATCTCGCGACCCCCCCTCACTGTCTCACGACCCCTACTTTGGGAACCACTGTACTAATACAGTGCATGCATAATTATTATGCAAGTTGAAATTCTGATCATATGTTTTTCCAAGCGCATTTTGCCAATTCCAAACCACATCAATCTTAATAAGTACTATTAATTTTGTGTTTAATCATTTATAAATGATATAGAATTGTTCATGAAGGCTAGAAGTGAAAAATGCCTTATACTCAGGTGTGCATAATTATTAAGCAGGTTTTCTTTTACAGGTAAAATGAGCCAAATGAGATTTAACTCAGACTGAAAAGTCAAAAATTATTAAATGCCCATGAGAAGGATGTAATACTAATGCAATACTAGAAATTGCAAAGTTAAGGCATGGCCATTGGACAGTGAAATGCTCATTGGGTCAGCAGGGTCAGTCAAAAACAGGTGAAGAAGAAAAGACACATGGTAACTGCAAAAGAATTAAGAATTAAGGTGAAGAATTGGGTGTGAAACCATCAGGAACCCTTTAGTCCTCCAGTGCTGTCATTTTCCAGAACTGCAACCTACCTGGAGTCTCCAGAAGTGCAAGGTGTCAGGTTCTCAGAGACTTGGGTTAGGTAAAGTATCCTAAAAAATGACCTCACTCAATAAAAATCACATACTGAAGTGTAGTAAAATACATGAAGACTGAATTTTTTTTAGGGTTTATAGACCGATTAATTGAGAGTGACTCTTGAAGGACCAGCACCACATCCTCTTGTGTACCACTGTTTGAAGAATTTATCTTTAAGAAACTGGCAGTAAGTTTCTCCAACCCTGAAAGGACCATCTTGCTCATTGTTGAAGCAGCTCACATCATGACCCCTTCACCACCGCCACACAGGAATCACTCTCAATCTATCGGTTCATAAAACCTTTTCAAACTATCAGTCTTCATGTATTTCATCATCACAATCATATACGGCATGTTATACTTATTAAGTGGGGGTCATGTTTCAGAATTTTTTATCTTCGCAAAGTCTCTGAGAACCCGACACCTTGTCTTCTGGAGACTCCAGGTAGGTTGCAGTTCTGGAAAATGATAGCACTGGAGACTAAAGGGTTCCTGATGGTTTCACACCCAATTCTTCAGCTTATTTCTTAATTCTTTTGCAGTTACCATGTGTCTTTTCTTCTTCACCTGTTTTTTTCTGACCCTACTGACCCACTGAGCATTTCACTGTCCAGTGGTCATGATTTAATTGAGCAATTTCTGTATTTAATAATTTTTGACTTTTCAGTGTGAGTTAAATCTCTTTTTGGCGCATTTTACTTGTAAAAGAAAACCTGTTTAATAATTATGCACACCTGAGTATTAGGCATTTTTCATTTTCAGCCCTTGTTAACAATTATATATCACTTACAAATGATTAAATACAAAATTAATAGTAGTTATTAAGATTGATGTGCTTTGGAATTGGTGAAATGTGCTTGGAAAAAAAATATGACCAGAATATCAACTTGCATAATAATTATGCACACACTGTACTCTAATGATTGGTAGTTGACATGTAGTTGCAAATTTGCTTATTCTCTAAAAGTGTCTAAAGTGGACTGTCAAAATAAAGTGTTACCACGTATGTTTTTACAATAGAAGTCAGCAGTAACCAAAACTGTCCTCCAACATTCTTCAAAATATCTTTTCAGACTGTTCTGCAGAAGAAAGTCCTACATGTTTGGAACGGTGTGTGGTTAAATAAATGATGACAGAATTTTCATTTTTGGTTGAACTATCCCTTTAATGATTACATGACACAGTTTCTTTGAATAATTAGTTGAATATTACACTTTGGCTGTTATGCCAACATGGATATTTTTAATTTATTTTATTTTGTGATAAGAAAGCAGACCGAAAAATGAAAAGGGAGAGAGAGAGAGGGTGGAACAGGATCAGAAAATGTTGCAGAAATAAAAGCTGTTTCGCCCATATGAATACCATTCCGACACCAAGCACTAGGCCAGAGCTCTGAAATGATGCTGTTATTTTATAGTACTGTGTAATGGATTTATCTAATCTAATAATTGCTTTTTTCCCCCTCAATCCTAAGACATCTGACTAGTCTACACAAGAAAATCTAGAGACTAATCAACAGCTTTTTCAGTTGTTTCAATATGCAGGAGTGACTTCCAGAGCTCCAGAGTAAAAAGACTTTTACTTCTAAACGTGTTAAATTTCAAAATGTTTTGGCTGCACATAAAATGACCAATAAAACCAGGCATTGATGATTTACAATAGAAGACCTCATCTTTGTAATAAAGACCCATTGTGCTTGAGTTTAAGAGGCTGATGAGGATTCACTTGCAGCCACTGGCAACCTACTACTAATAGCACAGTTGTTTTGTTTTATTTTATCTACATAAAGTCTGTTTCAAGCAGCTCTGCCTCCTAAAGCAGTGGATGAGATGCTAAGAGTGTCATTGAGCCTGTGTGATTGGTTTATATTTCTTGGATCTCCCTCTTTTTGTTGTCCTCCCTGGACAAACTTAACAGAATTCCAATAGCTTCAGTTATGAGCAATATAAAGATGAGATATGGTCCTGCAAGCCGTAGAGCCTCTCAATTTTAAAAGCCAGACCTTACACTTATTGATTTTTCTCCTCCGACCACCACATCTCTCTCTCCCTCCACAGTACTTAGGATGTTGCTCTCACAGGGGTGTTTGTACCTGTGTGTAATACACAGTTTGCACGCAAACTTGTCTAGCATTCCAGCCATTTCAGAGCTTGGAAAGAAAGGAAAGTGGGTTAAATGAAATGGAACTCATTTTAGGACAGTCACACACTCAGATGCCCATGTTTTCTCTTGTGCAGACTCTTGGAAAGGTGGGAAGAGTGCAACAGATTTACTCTGACAGTGACCTCAAAGTGGAGGTGTGTGGGACATCCTGGACATACAATCCAGCCGCTGTCACTAAAGTGGCTCCTGCTGGATCTGCTGTTAATAATACTTCTGGAGGTAACACACACACACACACACACACACACACTACTTGTCAAAAGTGTTTGATTTTAAAAACTTTTTGGTATAAAGACTTATGCTTAAATGCTTTTTTTATTTTATAAATTAATAGGGGAGTATAGTAAAGGATCAGCTTACATGGAAATTCCTTCAGTTCTGTTTAAAAAGCACCCCGGAAAGCACCTGGGTTATTTTTGGTCACTTATTGCCATGCACACCATTTGTGATATTTTGCAGTTTTGGTGACTTATAAAATGTGAAAAATTGTAATATTAAAGACTGAGTAGGTGTGTCTAAACAGGGGTGCGTTTCCCAAAAGCAACTATGGTCGCAAGTTCTGTCCTTTCCAATAGAGTTCAATGGAACTTGCGACCATAGTTAGCTAACAATGCTTTTCGGGAATTCACCCTAGAGTGGTAGTGTACATGGACATTTTACTTTCACATCTGTTTAAATTATTCCATTTTAATTAGGGCTACGCAATTTAGGAAAAAAACTGACATTGTGATGTTTTGATTTTCTGCGATATATTTTGCAATGTGAAAAAATGCGAGACTTGAAGCAGCAGACTTGAAAATCTAAAATTAGAATTAAGTCTAATTTTAAAATGATTTGGGGTGATTTTGAAGTGGAGTGCCTCTGCTCTGCTTTTGATTTCAGTTCTGTTTCTGTACATCATGCAGCCCTAATTTCAATATATTGTGGCATTAATTGATTGGCCAGAAACAGAAAGTGTCCTATATTTCAGTAGTGCTCACAGTCAACCACAGACAAGCATCAATCCATTTCTCATCAGTCATTGTGTACTCTGTGTGACACTATAGCAGTGTTGACAGAGAGTCCTTCTATGCCTGCAGAGCGCCTGTCTCAGCTCCTCAAGAAGCTTTTTGAGACTCAGGAGTCTGGAGACATTAATGAAGAGCTGGTGAAGGCCGCGGCTAATGGCGACCTAGCCAAAGTAGAGGACATCCTGAAGAGACCTGATGTAGACGTAAGAGTTCTCTCATAACACACACTACGCATGACAATCGCAGCTTCTGTCGAATCGCGATCTCGATTCCATTTCGATTAATCGTGCAGCCCTACAGTCACACACTGTACCAAATTTGCACAACCACAAAAAGCTCAGCAGATTAATAGAATCTGAATACTCTTTCATAAAGTTCTACACACCCCCTGCATGTTTGTTTAATATTCTGGGTAATGTTGATTTGCTGTCACTATGAATTGAACTGTCACTATGAATGAATATTTTGGCTAATGTTCGTTTGCTGTTAATATGAGTGAGGTATTCTCTATTTAACACAATTTGCAAAATTTAAAAAAAGTGTTAAAGTAAAAAAAAAGTCCTTGTTACAAGACCCTGTTCTATCTGATCAAATAGGTAGCAGTTCTTACATTTAACCTTTTGAGTGGTACGGTCCCACATGTGAGATTTTTATTTCTGTGCTCCTGGGACTATGATCCCACATATGGGATTTAGAATGCTCAGTGGCATCACATAGCCAGATTCAAACTGTGCTTTCACACTTTGGCTGGCGCTGAGCCAGAAACCGAAGCGCTCTGCACTTGTCATGTAATCATTCAATCACATAATGTTTATTTTAAGTTTCAGACATTTAAATAAACATAAGTACTAGTAAAACAGTACATTTAGATTTTGTAATATACACACTGATGTCTATGAAAGCAGCAATAACAATCCATTCAAATATAATTTGCCGATGTGTTTTATTCATATCAAACACATATAGTGTAAGTAACTATAAAGTTCACTCTATTCTTCTCCCTGTTCACCGGCAACTAACTAACATGTATTTCGGGAATATTTTAAACTTACTTGTGAAAGGATTAAGAAAGTACAAGTCAGAATGAAGAAACTTGCAAGTAGTACTTTGATCAAGCAGCATACTGGTTCTAATTTGTAGCAAGATCACTTTGAACTGCACCTTTTGGTTCTAACTGGAATCTCACGGATCAGATCAAATGCACAATCAAAGAATGATGGCTGCTTTTATATGTATGAGACTTCCTTTGCTCTTTTTTTAAACTCCTATGAGCCTGAAACTTACAGTTAGGGGTGTGCAATATCACGATTTTTGATGGTGGACGATTAAAATGTCTCCACGATTTACTTTTGAAGAAATATCGTAGTATCGTGCTACAGAGCACATTTTGTCAGTTCTATCAGTTCTGGCACCTCCGTCTCAATATACTGTACAACGCGACATGCATTCAATTCAAATGTTAACTCAGCAGTAGAGTTACACTCACAGGACACTGCACTTATTCACGATCACAAAAGGACATTATTTGCATGTGCTTTAAATCCTTGCTGGTTAAACATTTCATTCAAGCATTTCATTCAGACATGCGCTTTTTCTGAGCGTGTACACTAGCAGTGCGCACACAAAAAAAGCCCATCAAACAGCGCCTGATTACTGGACTAAGTTGTCTTTTGCATCTGATCCCGGTAATACTGTTAAAAACACACAAGGTTTACATATATTTGCAGTTGATTATGTCTAAATTGAAAGTAAACAGTTGGGAGATAAACGGATGCGTGCCTGTATATTAGATGTGTGCAGGTCTTAAAGCCACAGCAGACTAAATTCTGTCATTAATTACTCACTCTAATGTTGTCCAAAACCTGTATTAATTTCTTTCTTGTGCTGAACACAAAAGAAGATATTTTGAGGAATGTGGGTAACCAAACATTTGCCGGTCCCCATTGACTTTGATAGTAGGAAAAAAAAAATACTATGGAAGTCACTGGGGACCAGCAACTGTTTGGTTAGTCACATTCTTCAGAATAACTTTTATGCTCAACAGAAGAAAGAAACTCATTCAGGTTTAAAAACAACTTGAGAGTGAGTCAATTATGACAGAATTTTCATTTTTGGGTGAACTATCCCTTCAATGTTAATAAAACAACAAAACAGAAAATTCACTCACTGCTCTTGACTGAAAAACTTTATTAATACAGTTGCTTTAATAAGAATCAATGTAGGATAATTTATACAGTAAAGTGTATATAGTGTTTTATTTTCATATTTGTTCATTAAATTTCTTGAATGCTATACTGCTAGTTAATACACCTACTGTACCTGGAAAATAAAGTACTCTGTTTTATTTGTATATTATGTGTATTTGTAATTTGTATCTCTGTTCTTGTTTTTTAATAACAATGATCAAATAATGACCTAGAGTTTTATCTTCGCCCACTTTGGCCTAAATATCTGTCATTCTTTTTTGTTAACTTGTAAAGATTAGTTTTTAAAATAGGGAAATTATTTTGGCTGTACTGCTTAGACAACTTGCAAAATGGTAAAACCAACATGACAAAGAAACATGTTAAAATCATGAATCGTGATTTTCCTGAAAAAAAAGTTGATATTTTTGCCATATCGCCCACCCCTACTCACAGTTATGGAATATGGAACTGCCTCAGTCTGGTCTCTAACGAGCTGAAAGTATCCAACAGTCATGCGTATGAAGACATGAGCACATCAGTTGTAAAAATAAAGATTTTATTTCAGTATATTTTCATCAGTTTGAGTCTTTCCCCTCACCTTTTTGGTTTGTGTTGGTGCCAGGACTGGCCCTGTGATCTGCCGCCCCTTGCTGAAGTAATTGCTTGTAGCACCGAGAGAGAGAGAGGAAGGGAAGTCAGATTGGCTAGGGTGACTGGCCAAATGATATGCTCGGCAGGACAAGACATGTCCTGCAAATACATCAGGGGCTCCAGCATTAATATTCATGCCTTTGCACACTTGTTTAACTTACCGCAATGCTGCAGATCACAAATAGACACACATATACACTCATATACACACACACACACACACATTTTAAAGAATGGCACAAAAATGTAATCAGAGATGCAAAGAGCATGATGTGATCAACCCTGTCTTTTTATTTCCAGGTGAACGGGCAGTGTGCAGGACACACTGCCATGCAGGCAGCCAGCCAGAATGGCCATGTGGACGTCCTCAAACTGCTGCTGAAACATAATGTGGATCTGGAGGCTGAGGTGTGTCTTGTATCCTGCTCCTGAACCACCTCTTGTCACTGTTGGCTGTTTTTCCCCTAAAGGTTGTTGCTTTTGGAACAGGGCAAACCGTAATATGCTGTGGATTGACTGCTGACCTTAAGCCACTTAGATCTTGTTTCCTGTAGTTCAAAAGTTTTTGTTGTAAGGAGACCTCTTGGAGCTAGATAGCCAGCATGGTAACAGTATAGCATAATATCTAAGCATAATATGAAGAGAAAAAATATATACATTTCCTGGCCCCCCCCAAAAAAAGTTTCCGTTTACATTTAAATAGGCAAATACTAACTACGATTATAGGATTGAATAATTTTTGAGCGTGTGACGGAAATGTTACACCCCTTACCATACTGTGATGGAGCAATGAGACAAAAACATTATAAACTAGGCATTTGTAGCGTCCAGTGGGGACATAATTACGGATTATAATGACTTATACTGTCTTTTTACGCGTTGCGT